AAAAAAAATAAAAAATAAAATCAGGTTATTTTCTTATTGTTGGGTTTTAAGAATTCCTTGTATATTTTGGTAACTTTTTTTTTAAAGATTTTTTATTTATTTATTTGACACAGAGAGAGTTAGTGAGAGAGAGAGCACAAGAAGGGGAAGGGGAGCGGCAGGCAGGCAGAGGGAGAGGGAGAAGCAGGCTTCCCACGAAGCAAGGAGCCCTATGTCAGGCTTGATCCCAGGACCCTGAAATCATGACCTGAGCCGAAGGCAGCCATTTAACCGATTGAGCCACCCAGGTGCCCCTTGGTAACAGTCCTTAATCAGATGTGTCTTTTTCTTTTTTTTTTTTTTACTAGTTTGTGGCTTGTCTTCTCATTCTTTTGGCATTGTTTTTGGCATAATAAAAGTGTTTTGTCTGGTTGGTTGGTTGGCTGGTTGTTTTGTTTTTTTCATACTGTGGTTCAACTTATCAGTGAATTTTTTTCATGGATGGTGCCTTTGATGTTTTTAAATGTCAAACATCATGCTCAAGAGCATCTAGGTTTTCTCATATGTTATCTCCTGTGAGTTTTATAGTCTTTCTTTTCACGTTTAGGCCTATGGCCCATTTTTAGTTAATTTTTCTGGGGGGTATGATCTGTATCTGAATTCATTCTGTTGCATGTGGATGTTCAATTGTTCTAGCACTATTTGTTGAAAATACCATATTTCCTCCATTATATATTGCCTTTGCTCCTTTGTCAAATATCAGTTGAATATATTTGTGTGGGTGTTTTTCTGGGCTCTCTGTTTTGTTCCATTGATCTCTTTGTCTATACTTCCACTAAAACCACACCGTATTGATTACTGTACCTTTATTGTAAGTCTTGAAGTCGAGTAGTGTCAGTCTTCCAGCTGTGTTCTTCTTTAATACTGAGTTGGCTCTTCTGAGTCTTTTGCTGTTGCATATAAATTAGAATCTTCTTGTAGATATCCATGAAGTAACTTGAGTAGATTTTGATTGGGATTGTGTTGAATCTATAAAATTGAGATGAATTGACATGTTGACAATATTGAGTCTCCTATCCATGAACCTGGATTATCTCTCCACTTATTTAGTTTCCCTTTGGTTTCATTAATCAGAGTTTTCCTTATACAGAATTTCTAAATTTGAAAAAAAAATATACCTAAGTATTTCATTTTGGGGAGTACTAATTTAAATAGTTTTGTGTTTTTAATTTCATGTTCCATTTGCTCATTGCCATTGACTTTTGTGTTATCTTGTATCCTATAATCTTGCTATAAGTGCTTATTAGTTCCAGGAGGTTTTCTGTCAATTGTTTTGGATTTTCTGCATAAATGATTATATGTCATCTATGAACAAAGACAGTTTTATTTCTTTCTTTCCAATCTGTATGCCTTATATTTTCTTTTCTTTTCTTACTACCTTAGCTAGGACTTCTAAGACAATGTTGAAAAAAAACATGGTGATGAAAGAAATCCTTGCCTTATTCCTGAATCTCAGTAGGAAAACTTTGAGGTATCATGGTAGTTGTAGGTTTCTGTAGGTCTAATTTATCAAGTTGAGGAATTTCTTCTCTATTTCCAGTCAGCTGAGAGTTCTTAATTATGAATGGGATTTGGATTTTGTCAAATGCTTTTTCTGCATCTATTGATAAAATTATATCATTTGTCTTTTTAGTTTGTACATGTGAAAGATTACATTAATTGAGTTTTGAATTTTTAATCAGCCATGAATACTTGGGATAAATCCAACTTGGTTGAAGGGTATAATTCTTTTTAACTATTGTTGGATTTTATTTGCTAATATTTTGTTTATGAATTTTCCATCTATTTCATTAGAGATATTGGTCTGTATTTTCTTTTCTTTTAATGTCTTAGTCAGATTTTGGTATTAGGATAATCCTAGCCTTATAGAGTAAGTTAGGAAATATTCTCTGTTTCTAACCTCTGAAAGAGATTGTAGAGGATTGGTATAAGTTCTTTCTTAACTTGCAGAATTCACCAGTGAATCTATCTGGGCTTGTTACTTTCTGTTTTGGAAGATTATTAGTTATAGATTTAGTTTCTTTAATAGATATAGGCCTATTTTATTAGCTCTTCTATTTCCGTGAGTTTGTGCCTTGTGCTTCTGAGTCTTTCAAGGAATTAGTCCATTTCATCTAGGTTATCCATTTGTGGGCATAGAATTGTTCATGCCATTCCTTTATTAATGTTTTAATACTGATAAGCTGTGTAGTGATGTCTCCTGTTTCATTTCTGATATTAGTAATTTGTGTCCTCTCTCTTTGTATTAGCTAATCTGGCTAGAAGTTTATCAATTTTATTGATCTTTTCAAAGAATCAGCTTTTGTTTCCATTAATTTCCTCTATTGATTTTGTTTTCAAATTCACCAATTTCTGCTCTAATTATTATTTCTTTTCTTCTGCTTCTTTTGGATTCAATTTGCTCTTCTTTCTCAATTTTCTGAAGGTTGAAACTTAGATCATTGATTTAATATTGTTCTTCTTTTCTAACATATAGATTCAATGCTATGAAGTTCCCTCTAAACATGCTTTCACTACATTAGTTTATGTTTTAAAGTCATGCATATTTTGTTTTCTATTCCATATTCTACCTTTTTAAAGGAAAATATAATCTAGTAAAATTAATACAAGGTTCTTATTTTGTTTCTTTAGGCGCTGCTAGCATGCCTTATGCTACATGACCCTAAGGATATAAACACCTCAGATAAGAAACAAACTGCTAAATTAATAGTTATCTAAGCAAACAGTTATGCTTAGAAATTTGGCTTGGGAGGCAGGATAGTTTTTTTAGATTACCAGAAGCTGTCTTGCCTCTCAACAATTACCTGTTGCTCTTATACTGTTTCTAAGCTATCACTGGTGTCCAAGAAAATGATAAAACCCATTGTCCAGCAAGTTACAAAATTGGAAGAAACATTTGCGGTATAATGTGAAGCTCAGACTCAAAAGTGGAAGAAACATTTTCGGTATAATGTGAAGCTCAGACTCAAGAGTGTGCACAGAACATTTTAGTGTACTCTGTAGATCCAAATTTCTTGGTGTTATGGAATCTATGTCAGTGAAAGGGGACAATACAATAACAATATTGAAATTTTTGAAAATGGACCTTCTTGTAGGAAAACATTTGTTAAGAAGTCTTTTTTTTTAGAAAAGATCTATTGTTGGCAAATGTTTTTTAGCTAACCTGAAAATATGTTTTTTTCCCTTCTGTATTGATAGTTTTCCCAGGTACATGATTTTATATTGACAAATACATTCTCTTGTCACTTTGATGTTATCGATATAATATTTTATATGCTGTTGATAAAAGTGCTGTCAGTCTAATATTCATTTCTTTTATGTAATTTATCTTTTTTATTTGGCTACTTCTAGACCTTGTCTTTGTCTTCGATATTCCTTAGACATAAATTTCTTTATTCTGTTGGGATATGATGTCCTTCATGAAATGGAGGATTTATATTCTTCATTAATATGGAAAATTCTCACTACATTTTTTAATACAGCCTCCCTATTGTTTCCTTTATTCTTTTCTTGAGCTCAGATTAGATATTTGTTATACATTCTTACATTACTGAGTGTGCATCTTACCTCAATTTCATATTTTCTCTTTCTTTGGCCTGTATCATAAGACCAACCCACTAGTTGTTTCTATATTGGTTTCTAATTAAAGTATTTAATCCTTTTAAAAAATATTCTCTAAGATTGTTTTGTTTTGTTCTTATTTTGATGGCATTACATTTAATTACTGGAAGGTGCAGTGGGTTTATTTCTAAAGCTAAGTATGCAGTAGTCTTCTGAATTTTTGTTGTATCTTTTCTGGCTTATTTAATTCTTTTCTGTATGCATTCTTTTTTACAGCTTTATAATCTGTACTTAATACTTCTAATTTGGAATTACTTGAGATATACATTTATTGTGTACTCTTTTTGCTAACTTGTGATTATAGTGGATAGTCTTCTCGTGGCATTTGTTACTATGGTTTTATTGTAAATTCACATTTACTGGTGCTCAATCTCTATAAATTGTGAGATATCTGTGTTGAGGGATGCCTTCCTATAAGGGTTCAAGACCAGAATCCCATTCTCTGTGGGTTCATTCATCTCTATACATTTTGTTTCTAGAATTGCTAAGAAATTAGAAAAGTTATGGCCTCTGTATTCAATACCACTATATTTTAGCTTCTGTCTTATTTATTCTGTTTTATTATCTATGGTTAACTTCCTATGTCTAATGAGTCTAAAAATATTTTTAAAAATATGTTTGCTATAATTTAGTATGTATATATTTTTATTGATTTTTTTTCTCAGAATATCTATACTACCACACTTCCAGGCATGGTGTTTTGTCATATTGATGATTTTTTTCTCAAATATTTGTTTACTAATTCTTACTTACAGAACTATGTAAAACAAAAATACTAACTCAATAAAATTTATGCCCAATTTATACTACCTTGATATTTAATCAAATTTAGTATTTGATTAAATATTAAGAATCAATAGTTAATTTTAAATTAAATATTAAAACCAATATAAAACTTTTATTATTGATATTCATATTCAAGTTGTAATATTGTATTGACATTTTTACAGAAATATTTAAATTCTATATATATACATATGTGTATATATAAATATACATATATAAATAAGCTATCTTTCTAAGTATGTAGAAATTGATTCATTTAGAGAATGAAATCTCCAATGGAATTTGAATACATATCAAAGTGTTTCAAAGTGTTTCTAATACACTGTTATTAGCTATACTTTCCACGCTGTACATTACATTCTCATGACATTTATTTTATAACTGGAAGTTTGTATCTTTTGACTCCCTTTTCACACTTGCCTACCCCACACTCTCACCTCTGGCAACTGCCAATCTGCTATTCTCTGTATCTGTGATATCTATGAACTAGGATTTTATTTTTTCTTTTCTTCTTTTTTTTTTAATTTCACATATAAGTGAGGCCATTATTTCACTTAGCATAATGCCATCTAGGAACATCCATATTATCAGAAATGGCAAAATGTCATTCCTTTTTATGGCTGAATAATATTCCAGCATGAGAGTGTGTGTGTGTGTGTGTGTGTGTGTGTGTGTGTGTGTGATATTTTCTTTATCTATTCATCCACTGATGAACACTTAGGTTGTTTCCATATCTTGCCTATTATAAATAATGCTGCAATAAACATGGGATTGCCTATATTTTTTCAAATTCATGTCTTCATTTTCTTTGGATAAATACCAAAATAATTGCTGGATCATATGGTAGTTCTAGTTTTAATTTTTTGAGGAACCTCCATACTGTTTTCCATAGTGGCTACATCAGTTTACACCCCCACCAATAGTTCACAAAGATTCTGTTTTCTCCACATTCTCACCAACACTTGTTATTTCTTGTCTTAATTATAGCTATTCTAACAGGTGTGAGGCAATATCTCATTGTGATTTTGATAAGCATTTCCCTGATGATTAGTGATGTATCACTTGGCCATCTGTATATCTTTGCAAAAATGTCTGTTCAGAATCTCTGTCCATTTTTTTAATCAGATTGTTTTTTTTTTTCTTTTTTTGGCTCTTGAGTTGTATGAGTTCTTTATATATTTTAGATATTAACCCCTTATCAGATATGATTTACACTATTTTCTCCCACTCAATAGGTTGCCTGTTCATTTTGTTGATGGTTTCCCTTACTGTGCAGAAACTTTTTAAATTTGAAATAGTCCCACTTTTTTATTTTTGCTTTTGTTGCCTTTGCTTTTGTTGTTAAATCCAAAAAAATCATCATCAAGATTGAAATGAAAGAACTTATCCCTTGATTTTGTCTAGGAATTCTATGGTTTCAAGTGTTATGTTTAAGTTTCTAATCCATTTTGAGTTAGTTTTTTTGTATGATCTAAGATCATAATCTAGTTTTATTCTTTTGCATATGGCTGTCGAGTTTTCCCAATACTCTTTGTTGAAAAGAGTTGAAAATACTCTTTTTGTTGAAAACACTGTCCTTTTCCTATTGAATATTCCTGGCTTCTTTGTTGTAAATTAATAGACCATATAGGTGGGTTTATTTCTGGACTCTCTATTGTGTTCCATTGATCCATGTGTCTGTTTTTAGGCCAATAGTACACTGTTTTAACTATTATACCTTCGTAATATAGTTTGAAATCACTGAGTATAATGCCTCCAGATTTGTTCTTCCTCAAGACTGCCTGAGCTATTATTAATGGTCTTTTATGGTTCCATATACATTTTTGGATTGTTTGTTCTATTTCTGTGGAGAGTGGCATTGGAGTCTTTTGTTTCTTGTTTTTTGGTTTGTTTGTTTTTTGGCATTGGAATTTTGTTACAAATTGCGTTGAATCTGTAGATTGCTTTGGGTAGTACAGACATTTTAACAATATTATTTCTTCCAACACAAAAGCACAGAATATCTTTCCATTTATTTGTGTCTTCTTCAATTTCTTTCATCAATGTCTTATAGTTTTCAGTGTGTAGGTTTTTCACCTCCTTGGTTAAGTTTATTCCTAGGTATTTTATTCTTTGATATAATTGTAAATGGGATTGTTTTCTTAATCTCTCTTTTTGATAGTTTGTTATTAGTATTTAGAAACACAACAGATTTCTGTATAATGATTTTTTATCCAACAAATTTATTGAATTCATTTATTGGTTCTAAAAGTTTTCTGGTAGAGTGTATAGATTGTTTTTTAACACCATATTTTCTACTGTGTTTTGGAGATTGATACCACTAATTATCGAAAAGTCATATACAATGTACAAATATTTTCACAATTTATTCAGTTAGCCCAGTGCCAACCTTTCCTCCTAGAAAAAAAAAGAAACTAGCATACAGTCATGCTCATATTACTTAGAATTTCTAATTTTAAATGCAAGATAAACAAAAGAATGGTAAAAATTATAAAGTGACTAATGCTTGCAGATAATACCTGCATGTGGAAACTTGGACCTATACAGATTCACATAAAGAACAAATTCAGTTGTACTGAACTATATATAGCATATATATATATATATATATATATATATAGTTAAGTAATGGTTAAAATCCAAGCTTTTAGAATACCAAGCAAATAAATCCCCAAAATTCTTAATGCTAAAGATCAAATTAATTAGTCTGAGATCAAACACTTCTTAGTAAAAAGTACTAAAAAAATGAAGTCTAAATTTCATTATCTTCAAGATCTTACTCTGTTCATTCCTAACCAGAGAGGTTTCTCTGTCTGGAGAGACATGAAGTTACTTTATCAGCTACCGCCCAGGGTGCTTTCTCCCTGTAATGCCCATATCGATCTCAGGATCTTAGGTTTCAATGGATATTTTATGCAACATTCTTCGCAGGAATTCTTAGGGCACCATAAATTATTATAACATAATCTACACTGACAAAATTTAGAAAGCATGCCGACTTTTTTTTTTAAGATTTTATTTATTTATTTGACAGAGAGAGACACAGCGAGAGAGGGAACACAAGCAGGTAGAGTGGGAGAGGGAGAAGCAGGCTTCCCACCGAGCAGGGAGCCTGATGCAGGGCTCGATCCCAGGACCCTGGGACCATGACCAGAGCCGAGGCAGACGCCTAATGACTGAGTCACCCAGGCGCCCAGAAAGCATGCCAACTTTTAAAGAACTTATACTGGGAAAATTTATGTTTGCAAAATCCCATTATTGGTGTTAGCTGACATC